TTTTGTGGTTTTTTGGGGTGAATTTGGGTATTTTGAGGTGAATTTGGGGGATTCGAGGTGAATTTGGGTTTTTTTGGAGTGATTTTGTGGTTTTTGGGGTGAATTTGAGGTTTCTTGTGGTGAACTTGGGGGTTTTGGGGTGAATTTGGGGTTTCTTGGGGAATTTGAGTGAAATTTTTTTAATTTTTTGGGAATTTTGGGGTGAATTTTAGGGTGAATTTGGGGCTTGGGGTAAACTTGGGAGATTTTGGGGTGATTTTGTGTTTTTTTGGGGTGATTTTGTGGTTTTTTTGGGGTGAATTTGAAGTGAATTTGTGTTTTTTGGGGTGATTTTGGTTTTTTGGGGTGAATTTGGGAGATTTGAGCTGAATTTTGGGATGAATTTGGGGTCTGGGTGAATTTTGAGTGATTTTGTGTTTTTTGAGGTGATTTTCTGTTTTTTGGGGTGTATTTTGTGGGTTTTTGGGATGAATTTTGGGTTTTTTGGGTGAATTTTGTGGTTTTTGGGGTGATTTTGGTTTTTTGGGGTGAATTTGGGAGATTTGAGGTGAATTTGGGTTTTTTGGGAGTGATTTTGTTGTTTTTGGCATGAATTGGAGTTTTTGGGGCTGAATTTGGGTTTTTTGAGGTTAATTTTGGGTTTTTTGAGGTGATTTGGCTTTTTCTGGGGCGAATTTTGGCTTTTTTTGGGATGAATTGGGGGGGATTTGAGGTGAATTTGGGGTGAATTTGGGGTTTGTTGGGGTGAATTTGGAGATTTTGGGGTGAATTTGTGTTTTTTGGGGTGAATTTTATGGTTCTTTGGGGTGAATTTGGGGGATTTGAGGTGAATTTTGGGGTGCATTTTGGGGTTTTTTGAGTGATTTTGTGGTTTTTTGGAGGGTAAATTTGGGGTTGTTGGGGTGAATTTGGGTATTTTGAGGAGAATTTGGGGGATTTGAGGTGAATTTTGGGGTGAATTTGGTGTTTTTAAGGTGAATTTTGTGGGTTTTTTGGGACGAATTTTGGTTTTTTTGGGTGAATTTTGTGGTTTTTGGGGTGAATTTCGTTTTTTTGGGGGTGAATTTGTGGCTTTTTTGGGGTGAATTTGGGGGGTTTTGTTTGGGGATTTTTTTGTCAATTTTAGTGAATTTTTGATGATTTTTTTTGAGCTCTGTGTGGGTCAAGTGAAGCTGTTCCACCCCCAGATGCCAAAAATTGGGAATTCCCAAATTTTTGGGATCAATTTGGGATTTTGGGGAATTTTTCCCAATTTTTTTTCGGAGTTTTACTGATTTTTTTTATTATTTTTGGTGATTTTTTTTCCAATTTTTGATTATTTTTTAGCAAATTTGGGGAACTTTTAGATGGTGTTTAGGGATTAAGTGAAGTTTTTCCAACCCAACATCCCAAAAATTGGGAATTCCCAAAAATTCAGGATTTTTGGGAATTTTTTCCCTTTTTTTGGGTGACGTTTGGGCTTTTTTGTGATTTTTCTGGTGGTTTTCGAATAATTTTTGGTGATTTTTTGGTGATTTTTGGAAATCAAGCAAAACCTTCCCACGCCCAGATCCCAAAAACTGGAAATTCCCAAAAAATTCTGATTTATTGGGATTTTTGGGAATTTTTTTGGCTGTTTTTAGTGATTTTTAATGAATTTTTAATAATTTTTGGATCTTTTTTAGGAATTGAGCGAAACTTTTCCACTCCCCCGTCCCAAAAATTGAGAATTCCCAAAAATTTAGGAATTTTTGAAATTTTTTTGGTGATTTTTGTAATTTTTTTGAGGAAATTTGAGGGGAATTTCGGGGAATTTTTGGTGGATTCTGGTGAATTTTGGGGAAATTTCAATGAATTTTGGGAGATTTCCGAGATTTTGGGGGAATTTGGGGGGTTTTGGGGGGTCTCACCTGGGAGTTGGGCTGGAAGGTGGGGTGGGGGCTCGAGTGCTTCTGGAGGTTCTCCAACATCAGCGCCTGAATTTGGGCAGATTTAGGCAAATTTTAAACTCCCTGAAATTATTTTTCCCATTAATTCACATTTTTGTTGCCCTCCCGCCCTGAAATCCCCACAATTTCCCCCAAAATCCCCACAAAAACCCCATAATTTGCCCAAAAACCAACCAAAATCTGAATTTCTGACACAAACTGCCTCAAAAACTCTGAGTTTTGCCTCAAAATCCCTCACAAAGTAACCAAAAATTGGATTTTTCCCTCAAATCCCCTCAGAAATGCACAAAAAATTTCATTTTTACCTCAAATCCCCTCAAAACCTCAACAAAGTTGTGATTTTTGTCTCGAAGCACACCAAAAATTGCAATTTTTACCTCAAATCCCCTCACAAACACGTGAAAAATCAGAATTTGGCCTCAAATTCCTGAGGAATCCGCAAAAAAAATGCAATTTTTACCTCAAATCCGCTGAAAAATTAACAAAAACTTCACTTTTTACCTCAGGTTCCTCTCAGAGTCCCCAAGCCCTCAAGTTTTACCTCAAATTCTCTCCCAAAGTCACCAAAAATGAAATTTTTTAACCAAAATCCCTCCAAAACAAGGATTTTATCTCAAATAACCCCAAAAAATCCTGTTAAAAATACTAAAAATCTGAGTTTTGCCCCGAATTCCTCCTCAAAGTCCTCAAAATTGCGACTTTCACCCCAAATCCCCTCACAGTTTTGCCAAAAATGGGTTTTAAAACTTAAATCACCTCCAATTTCTCCTCAAACTCATCAAAACTGGGATTTCTACCTCAAATCTACTAAAAAATCCCCCAAAATTGGGATTTAAAACTTAAATCGCCTCAGACTTTTATTAGAATTCATGAAAACCGCTACTTTTACCTCAAATTCCCTCAGAAATTCCTTAAACCCGGAATTTTAAACCCAAATCCCCTCAGAATTTTCCTCAAAATCATTAAAACCGCAACTTTTACCTCAAATCCCCACAGACTCATCAAACTCAAACTCAAACTCATCAAAACCGGGATTTTCACCTCAAATCCCCTCACGAAAACCTCAAAACCGGAGATTTAAACCCAAACCCCCTCAGGCTTTTCCCAAAACTCACAAAACCCGCAACTTCTACCCCAAACCCCCTCAGACTCCTCTCAAACTCATCAAAACCGCGATTTTCACCCCAAACCCCCTAACAAAAACCTCAAAACCGGAGCTTTAAACACAAACCCCCTCAGGCTTTTCCGAAAACTCACAAAAACCGCAACTTCTACCCCAAACCCCCTCAGACTCGTCTCAAACTCATCAAAACCCGCGACTTATACCCCAAAACCCTTCAAACTTTCCCTAAAACTCATCGAAACCGCGATTTTCACCCCAAACCCCCTCAGACTCCTCTCAAACTCATCAAAACCGCGATTTTCACCCCAAACCCCCTCACAAACTCCCCAAAACCCGCCCTTTACACCCGAACCCCCTCAGGCTTCCCCCCCGCAACTCCCCAAACCCTCAACTCCCGCCGCAAAACCCCAAACTTTCCCCCAAAACCTGCCCAAAACTCCCTTTTTTCACCCCAAACCTCACTCACCCTCATGAGGGGTGGGGGGGGGGGTCTCCCCCCTCCCCCCTTTTTTCCCCCCCCCCCCCCTCTGGCGGGTAAACCC